GCCCTTTAAGGCTGTCGCTGATGGGTTTATCCCGTTATGCAGAGCATAAGCACTGAAAAAATTAGTCCACGCCCACCTGCTGTGTGGGCCCCACCCGGTCCGTATAAATTACGTTAAGAGCGGGAAATCGGCTCCCAAAATAGCTTTTTCTTCAGCCATTTAGGAGCCAGTGAGGCCCGACGCTTAAAGGGCTACGCTTATACTCATAGAATCTGGGGTTACAGTACGTAACCAACGTTCTATGTCGTATAGGCTTCGCCCTTTAAAGCTGTCGCTGATGGGTTAAGGGCGAAGCGGATGTGGTCCTCGCCTCACTGGGTCCATTCGAACACAGTAAGAAGCGGAAGCTTGCCCAAAAAACGTCTTGTCACTCAGCTCCCCGTGTGCATAACTACGCATCTCGTAATTATGTGACATGCACAGACGCATGTTGAGTAACTATGCGTTCTGACAAAGCATGAATGCCCCCGGAAACTTTCAACGGGAAGAAGAAGTTGAAAAGAGAGGGGGGGGGGGGGGCATGAACCAACTGGTTCATGGCTGAACAGTATAACAGATTAATGTCCATGAATTGATTGGTAACAATAATCATGAACTGATTAGTGACAATAGAACCAAAATCACAGACACGACTTGTGACTGATAACAACATCTCACACTGAATGCATGCAGACAGAAGTGAGCTTAAGCAGAGTTCCATGAGAACAACAATATTCATTCTGTTAGAGCACTAAGGACAGAATGTGTCATGGAACGAGCCGTTACATCACGTAGGTAAAAGCGAATAAATGAGCAGGGTGTTGACCATGCAGCCGCAGTGCAAATGTCCTGCATTGACATACCATTATGCAGAGCAGTCGAAGATGCGATACCCCTGGTCGAGTGTGCTTAGAGGTTGACAGGAGGCCCTAAGTCTGATGCTCTGTAGGCTTCAGAAAAGGCCTCACACAGCCAGAGTGACAAGCGCTGGATGGATAACGGTGATCTGCAGAAGCATCTCTATAATGCACAAACAATTGTTGAGTTTGAAACGCATTGCAGCTGTGCGCGTCATGTAACACGTCAACGCCCGCACCGGGCAGAGAAGATGAAAAGATGCTTCCTCTTCTGATCTGTGGGGGGGGGGAGAAACCCCTCCAACGATATCACTCTTGATTTAAAAGAGTTCGTGATGTTTTAGGCATAAAAGCTGGGTTGGTCTTAAGAACAGCTGAGCTGCCCGTCAGCCTAATTCTAAGGCATGACGAAGCAACAGAGAGGGCAGATAATTACTTATCCTCTTAGCGGGTGTTAAAACCAGCAGCAGGGCTGTTTAAAGAGACAAGAATTTAAATGAAACCTGATCCAGAGGCTCAATTGGAGCTTTGATCATGGCTCGCAGGACCAGCGTTAAATCCCACTGTGGAACAAATGGACGTGAAGCAGGCCTATGTCTTTGTACACCTTTTAGAAACCGCTTCATCAGCGGGTGATTAAAAACTGTTCTGTCTCCGAACCCTTCATGGCAGGAAGAGATGGCTGCAGCGTACGTTTTAATCGTGCTGAATGCCAACTTCCTATCCATCAGCTGTTGAAGAAAGGACAGCACGCCACCTAATGGACATGAGGTGGCCTCCAGACCTTTCTCTGTACACCAGCGCTGAAAAGCCGTCCACTTTGATGTGTACAGGGCTGTGGTAGATGCAGCGCGTGAATCTTGAATTGTGCGCACTACCTCCTGAGGGAGACCCATCCTCTCTAAGCGGGACCGCTCAGCGGCCAGACCCACAGGTGCTGGCCTATTTCCGGGTAACTCCTGATCGCTCCTCCTGCTTGAAGGAGAGCATCTTCCCTCCATGGCAGTTTCCACGGGCGACCTGACAACAGACGCTGCAGGACTGGGAACCATGGTGCGTTCACGCGCTCGGGAGCTACCAGGAGAGCTGTCAGTCCCTCCTCCTGAACTCGGTTCAGGAACCGTAAAATCAGAGGAGGAGGGGGGAACGCGTACAGAAGCGTTTTGGGCCACGGGCTGTGGGCAAATGCATCCACCCCCAGCGGTGGATCGTCTCGTGGGCTCAGGGAAAACCATAATTGGCCCTGAGCGTTCTCTCGCGTCGCAAACAGGTCCACAGCTGCTTTGCCAAACTTCTGCCACGTCTGAAACATCAGGTCTGGATGGAGGGTCCAGTCCGCGTGACGTGGGCCGCCCCTGGACATCACGTCTGCTCCTCTGTTCAGAAACGCCGGGTATGTAAACCGCTCTGATGGAAAGCAGGTTTTGGTGAGCCCAACACAGTAGCTTCCGCGCAATGTGTAACATCTGGGCTGAACGCACACCCCCCTGGCGGTTTATGTACGCAGTAGTCACCATGTTGTCTGTGTGAATCAACACGTGCTGATTCTGTAGCACGGGAGCAAAATGTTGAATCACATTCAGCACTGTGCGACACTCCAAAACATTGATGTGGGCTGATGTGCGGTGGGGCCACAGCGCCCCTACTGCTTGAGATAGGCATGTCCCCCCCCAACCTGACAGAGACGCGTCCGTGAAGACTGACACGTGTGACGTGGGTCTGCTGACGGGGACTCCCTCTGACAGAGCCAGGGTGTTTCCCCAGTGTCGGAGGTCTGCTCTCACGGAGGGAGGGACAGTGATCATCCGTCTCTTTTGTTTTACTGGATCCACACGCAGACGCGTAAACCACCTCTGGAGGCGTCTCATGTGTAACAAACCCAGCGGGACCACTGTGTGAGCTGATGACATCATTCCCAACAGCTTCATGACGGAGACAGCTGTTACCACTTTGCCAGGTCTTACGTGGCGTAATTGGTTTTTTAGAGTGTCGATTCTTGTTTGTGATAAGCGAGCCGTCATGGTAATTGAGTTTAATTCCACTCCCAGATAAACAATTGTCTGGGCCGGGAAAATCGAGCTCTTCTTCCAGTTTATGGCGAAGCCCAGATTTAGCAGGTGTGATGCCAACACCTGAGCCTGTATCAATGCTTCCTGTCTGGAGTGAGACAGGAGCAGCAGGTCGTCCAGGTAAAACAAAAACTCTCATCCCTGCTCTGTGCAGTGGATGCAGGGCTGTCTCCACACACTTTGAGAACGTACGAGGCGCGAGGGAGTACCCGAAAGGCAGCCTGTTGTACTGGTACTTCATCCCTTGAAAGGCGAAACGCAGAAATTTTCTGTGTTTTGGGATGATTGGTATGTGAAAATAAGCATCTTTTAAATCGATGGAGACAAACCAGTCGTTTTTCTGGATGTTGTCCAACAGCTGTCTGTTCGTCAACATGTGAAAAGGTCTGTTCATGATCGCTTTGTTGAAAGCTGACAGATCCAGAATCGGTCTCATCCCTCTGGTCCTTTTGGGGACCAGGAAGTAGCGTGAGTAAAACCCTGTGTTTTCCTCCTCGTTGGGAACTCTTGAGATTACACCTTTTATCAGAAGCTCTTGGACTTCTGCATTTAAGGCTGAGACTTGGTCTGGTGATGACAGGACCGTCTCTATAACTCCTCCGAACGGAGGGGGTCGGGTTGCAAACTGCAGCGTGTAACCCTTGCATAACACTCTGTCCATCCATCTGTCCGGTGAGCATGTTTTTAACCACTCTGCGTGACGTTCGTGGAGTGGACGTGCGTTTAAATGATGTGCCGTGTTTTGAACGGATGTCATCCAAACCTCCGCCTCGACCGCCGTCATGCGTCACGGAAATGTTTTCCGCGTGACCCAAGGCGAGGCTTCCTCGAAAGGGCTGTTCTGCGCGCGCCCGTGCGCTGTGTCTGGATCGCGGGCCAACTTTCATGTCCGGGCGGGGCGGTGTGCGCTGAGGCGAGGCGTGTGTCAGCTGATGACGTCGAGAGGCTGCACGTTTAACGTCGCTGTGCGAACGTTGAGAGGTGGAGGGCGTGACGTCATCAACGCCGTGCTGTTGAAGTGAAGGTTGTGAGCCTCGCGGGAGCGCACGTTTCCTCTGGAGGGACGCGCGCCGCTCTCGCTGAGGGCGGGGCCCGTCATTGGATTCATTCAGCTGTCTCACGCTTATGTCGCCGTGAGCTG